TCATCTTATTCATAGAGGGCTCTCGTACGATTAACATCGATCGATTAGATAAACATCGAAACTGTCAATCTTTCTAGAACAGATAAACTACACACTGATGAACGTAAATAAGGGCAATTTACATGATGTATATCGATGTTACACACGCTTTCAATTTGTCTCTATACTCAATAAATACATCTAATGTGCTAATGATTAAATGCCATTTCAACTTCGGTGACCGTTATTGTTAGTGTATGTTTAACACATCGATCTAGACAAAATAGCGATGTCAATTCGTCTAGAGACGAAAATCAATTTCCTGTGCGTGCATAGCAGTAACCGACTAGTTATAGACACAAACTCATTTAGCTCTTCTCATCGCATCCTAAACATGAAAACGCGCGATGCTGTGAAGAAGAAGAAAGAGAGAAGAAAGTCAGTTGAACGTCTCATCTTTACTTTCTTCTTCGTCTTTACGCACAGTTGCCGAAATTCAAGTTATTAATTAAGTAAACATGGTGACCGCGACAAAAATAGAATACGAAACTGAAAATATCAATGAAGCATTAAAAGTACGCTGAAAAAAGACTCAGTTCATTTTCTAGTGTATTGGAATTCTATGAAATTAACACAGAAAAAGAAACAGGAAAACGTGATTCTTTTCTCTTGTTGAGCTTTCCTTTCAATTCATTATCGCGAGAGCAAGTGAAAATCCACTTCTGATTTGTTTGAATGAACTTTGTGATGAGTTTCCTTCTTTCTTCTTGCGCATGACTGCTCATTGTTCCTTACTAACACTTTGAAACCTCATGCCGTTGACACTGTCAGATCAGGTTTCTATAAGAGAATCAACTGTCAGCCGCAAGAATATATATTCATCAAAAACAGCATCAAAGAAATTAGGTTTAAGAAAAGGATTTAGTATTGTTGTCGTTGCTGTCATATAGTTGAGGATAACGTTAACTCATCTACATACATGTGCTCTGTGTTGTCAACGCTCGGGCGCATGTCAGGGTGCCGACTGACTTATGATTTCGTTAATGCAAATTGAATCTATCTGTTGTTCTTAGGACTACTACTATTATTACTGCTAGAACTAGAAGGAATAAAGAGTAGTTTTTGATGATGATGATGATGATGATGATGGTGATGGTGATGCGTATGAGTGATGTGTCGACTACCAGCCATTCAGTCAACAAAAACTCAAAGAAAAAGAAGGAGGGAAAGGGGAAGAACAAGATGATGATGAAGATGAGAAAATATGCATTTCTCCTATGTCTGCTTTCCTTCTTCTCTTCTCTCTCTCTCTCTCTCTGTTTCTCGTTTTCATAGACAGTGTTACTATACTCTCCCACTCACTCACACTCTCTCTCTCTCCCTCTCAGTCATCAGCAACAAATATCATAAATAGAGTAGAAAATACCACGAGAGCGTTACAGGACGGGAAAGACTCGCTGTTATGTTAATCAAAAAGAATGCGAATATGAGAAGAATGTCGTTCGTCGAGCTAAACACAGAACAGTGAAACGTTCTCGAATCAATTGACATGTTTGGACTGTGTACATCAACATTGTTCTCATCATTTCAAAGATAAACTACCTGTCATTATCGATATTTTCTTTTCCCTTCGTTCACCATTCATTCCATTCATCGACAAACTGGTCGTTTGATCCTCTGCACGGTACCACCGCATATATTGTGTCGTCCAAATACTGTTCGTTACTCACTTGTTCTTAACGTGCACGATCAACGACGTCGACGAGGCAACGCATCGAACAAATATATCAAAGTGTCGTCGCCTACGCTTCGTAAACTCTGCTTGCCGTGTATTACCGCACGAAATCAACGCCAGCAATATAAACGTTCGCAACAGATAAACAAAAACAAGACACTGAAAAATAATCAACGAGAAATTATTACTTCTTCAACCGCTGAGAACAATGCTATTGACTCAATACATCGTCTAGAAATCAATCCAAAGACACAGCAACTTAAATCAACAACGTCAGTGGTGCACAGCAGTGCATGTTTACGCGAAAACGATGCTAATCAATGTGATGAGCAATACCAACGTTCTGAGAGGATTTTATTTCCGATTGAAAAGATAGAAGAAAAAAAGGATGAGATATCGGTGGAGGCGGAAATAATAACGGCAAAAGTAGTTTCAGAATCCGTATTACTGACATTACCATCACCTGAAAATGAAATAACGAGATCAAACGCAGAGGATGTGGTAGGTATTTTTATAGTTGCCAGTTTGATTAATTTGAGAGTAATAATAACGATGATCATGCCATTCATCTTCTTCCTCATCGTCTTCTCTTTAATTCATTCTTTTCTTTTTCCTACTAGTGTGATGATCATACGCCACTATTAACATCGGATCTTACATCTACTATCAAAGATTCATCGAACCGTGCTACTCGTAAATATTCGCTCAATGCTTTTTCATCCTTCATACGTTCTTCAAACTCACATCCGTTATCTTCTTCATCGACAACTTCATTTACTGCCAACAGCAAGACCGCCGGTGATAACAAAAAAAATCGCTATAGTCTTGATTTGACAACACCTCGTCAAATTAATCTTTCATCCGTATTTCGTCGGAATTCAATTACGAAGCAACCGAAAGCATTCTGCTCAACAATTGACCCGAAAAATACAACGGCGCAAGCCTCACCTAAAACCATCGTTCTTCCTGTTCAGTACGATCAACATTCTACGACCGCAGGCAATTCGAACAGCAGTAGTCGAACATCGCTATCGAAAATTAAATCATCGAACTTCACCAAAGTTCATCCGAAAAAAAAGTCATCGACAGTTACACCAACCAGCACAATATCACCCTATCGGAAAGATTTCATGCAAAAGATCGAGCGCTTTCGTTATATCGATGATAGTGCATCGAGTACAACAACAATCACATCTCCTGTTGAAAGTACTGATCATTTGAATGGCCATCAGCCATGCAATCATCTAATTACAAGTGCTATTGAACAATTCGATGACTATGTTCGATCGAGATATTACAACAACGACGAAATCAATTCTTATATTGATCGTCTCAACTCGGATATCCTAACCAATGGTTCATACTCAGATCTAAATATTCTCAATAGTACCAGTAATAATCATGTAGCCATGCCAAATGCTCAAGTAAATCAACAAGCAACCTTACTAAAGCCGGCGAATCAGTTTTCATCACAATCAGAAACAGTAAGTTGAAAAGGAAAAGATCGGGAAAACCGTTTTATTGAAGTTTTATCTGACATCATATCCGACATACTTATCTATTATTAAAATCAGTTCCGTTCTAAATATATGAGATTCTTTTTTTCTCCTTGCCTCGAAAAAAACAACCAGTCTGATAATATTACCCAGATTAGAAAATTGAATTAGAAAGATAGGATTAATAGTTTTCTTTTTCTTCTACCAGAATGACTATCGTCAAGTAATACGTAATTCAACGCCGATTTCAATTCCATCTCGACCTGTTCAACCGACCGATAATCCTCTCATACGACCGACAACGATAATTACAAATGGACATTCACGTTCCATGGATTTTCAATCAATCACTACTAATAATAATCATCACCTGAGGAAACAAGAACTCATCCGACCGCATACGTTGAACAATCCTGCAACGATCTATGAAACATCGTCATCGTCTATTGCTACACTAACATCTGTGCGTAGTTCAACTAGTTTAGAATTCGATGATGATGCCAAACCGTCCGGTGTACTCGTTGATGATGATTTTCTTCCGATGTCATCGCCTGTCGATGATCATTTCTGGGATATGACAGCCATGTTGACAACAACGAATCAGAATCATCAATTTAAACACAAGGATAAAAACGAATGCTTTCCTAATGTTGGCTCATCTCCCGATATCGAAGACAAACATTTCGATGTTGACCAAATGAAGAAGTACTCTGCAACAACTGATCAGCCATTTTCCGAAACTTCATGTGACGAAGATGATGACGACGATGATGATCGCAGTGATCATCAACAGAAATACTCCATTCAAGAATACAAATTGAAAGAATTACAAAAACCTATTGTTATTCATCGAACACAATTGAATCCATCTAGGCATCCATCAAAGCCAATCAATCACTCACAAGACGCGATATCCATATCAATAAATAGACTCTGTATGTCATGTATAATTTCATTTAACTTTATTTGGAGTTTTTCTTTCATTTTAGCGCTGGATTCAAGAAATGATGAGTCGTTGTTGGAAAAATTCGCTACCGCAGATAGTGATGCTGTACAGATGGCGATTCGTTCGCCGCCACTTCGTCCATCTATAATCAATGATTTGGCTCTAGCATCTCAACAGTGTCCGCAGACGATTTTCGAAGAAGATGATACACAGGAGAGCTCGACAAACGATAACATATCGGATGAAAGTGCTGACAATGGTGAAATCGATCTCGTACACGAATTTGAGTTATCACAAAAACAAGAACAAATTAAATCTAATAATGCAAATCTCTGGAGTACGAATGATCGCGATATATTTATTTTACAAGAAGATGATCTTCTTTCTGCTATGGTGACGACACCAATGCATACTCCGGCAATCATCAATCGACCTTTACCACCATCAATTATGAAAATGACTCAGAATAAATCAATTGATAGCATCGATGAACAACAAACTAATGCCAGCAATTCATTGAAACCGAAAGTACGCTTCAATCTTGATCCACAATATGAACACGAACGTGAATGGAATAAAGTTAACAAATTACTAGGACACAATATGGAATGGACTGATGAATTTGAAGTCTAATATCGTCTATATCGCTAACAACATCGGAGGGGAAAACACCATCTGTCAGATTTCTCTTTCTTTATGCCTGGAGCTTAATCTACATATATATTGTACAGCTCTTTTTCTGTCTCTCTTAATATCTTTTCTGTTTGTTTTTATTTTGTTCCTGAAGTAGATGATTTATTAGAACATTGCCAGATATATATATGTATAAACGGACGTTTTTATTTCAAGAATGATAGAACGTTTGAAACTTAGCATCTGTCGGTTTCAGAATCGTTTGGTCTTTGAGATTAACTAACCAACCCGGCTCCAAACCATAGAATATCTGTCGAGGATCTTTTTTCAAACGAAATAAAGATGAAAACTTCGATGGATCTGGTAGTTTATAACCATATTTTTGTGCTAAACGTTGTCGTTCTTCACGGATTGAATCTGGATTGGCTAAGTAACCGCGTTGTTTTGGGTCTGTGTAAGATTCGACGGCATTGATCGGCGGAGTATCACAACGCGGAATCGGTTCACCACGCTCAAAGAATTTCTTTGCATCTATCAATGCTGACAATGAGATTGGATCAAAATAGCGTGTTGTTAAGACACCACCACATCGTTCAATAGCAGCGATAGCTAATTCACTAGCTACCCATTGAATTTCCAGATTGATTGGAGTAGAAAAGAGATCAGCACCCTAACGGAATGAAGATTGAAAAAAGAAATTAAGAATTGCATGACGGAAAAGATTAGTTTGATTTTATTAAAGGAAACTCTTCGTTTTTTCTTGTTCTATTTCAAACTTTAGAGAAGAAATCGAATTGACAAAGATGTGACTAAACTGACAACGTACAAGAGGGAGATGTAAATGGAAATTCTTCAATTTATGCTTAAATATTCTCAAGTTGGTGAGTCGACTGACATAAATGCGCATTTCATTTCCTTGATAAAAGTTATCTGCTGACATGTCAACATTTCGATGAAGTCGAACTAATTTATCCCATGGATTAGTTCAAATTAACGACAATCTATTCTGTTTAATCAAGCAGATAGTTGCGTACTCATTGATGTAAAAAACGTCCCGTTTTCTCTAATATTGAATAAATTAATTCGGCTTACTTCATCAGTTAATTGTAGACCGAATTGTCTTTGATCAGGTTGAATGGAAAACAACTTTGTATTGCAAAGTACGGGCAAATCAATAGGTTTCTCGGGATTGATGCGACGGAGATCGATCAGACGTTGAAGAGTCCGTAATGATATCGGCAAATATTGCCTTGCTTCTCTAAATATTCACAAAGAACTGTTGTGTGAAGTGAAATCTTGAAGAAGAGTAAATCCTACTCGACTCCTTCATAGTATGGTTCTTTTGGAACGGTTAGAATCCACGGGAGACGTCCCTCTGCTTGAATGGGATCGATACCATATGGTGGTAGCGCACTTCGAGATATTGGACCTTTTCTACTCATAATTGCTTTGATTTTAGTTTCATCCGGCTACAAATTTCAATGAAAGTCAACGAAAGTCTAAAGTGAAAGGACATATTACATGTGCTTGCTGCCATTTGAGTGTCTTTTCGAGAGGCATCGGGAGATTTTTCAATGTCACTCGTTGCATTTGCCGTAAATATTGTAGACCTCGTTCGATCGGCATCGTTTATCTGAAATGTGTCAAAAATTAATGTTTAGATTCGCCTTGTTTTCGACAGCGGAACGATTTATACGTCAAAAAGAAAATAATCATCACAAAATTTCAAATTTAAAACAGAAAAACAAATAAAAGATATCAATGGTCATTCGATGATTCGGACGATGAACTGATCGACAGCTGATTTTCTTCATCACTTCGTTTGCCATTATCCGAAACAACAATGATGCTATCACCATCATCATTAGTTGTCTTCGGATTTGTTTCAACTCCAATTGGCGCCGTTCGATTTTTTCGTGTCTACAAAACACAAAAGTGAAATTCGAACAAGAAGTGTTTTCTGTCGTACTTCTAATTGCCACGATGGGAGTGTCGGTGGTAGTTGCGGAATGGCTGGGAATTGTGAACGGCCTAGAGATAAGCCTTTCAAAGATTGAATCTCTCGTTTGATTTCTTCTAATGAAGACGATGAAGATCCATTCATTGATGATGTATGAATTGTTAAATGCAATTGATCAGTTGCTTGCTCGAGCTTTTTAATACTTGCATGCATATCTTGAACGGTCTTTTGAAGAGTTTTAATCGTTTCGTTCAAATCATTCGCTTTAACAGATTTTTTCTAGGAGAAAGAATATTGGAATGGAAGAAGTATGAAAAAGATTTTCATACCGAACGAAACCAGCGTTTGATGAATTTAAATGCCAGACCAATCAGTCCAGCTAAGATTAAATCGGATAGAATTCGTCGAAGAAAGGATGGACGATGATTAGGAACAAGTTCAGTACTTGTTTCTATGAATACAAAGAAAACTGAAGTGAAATATAAAAACAATTGTGTCTTACGTTTTTGAGGAATGAGTTTAAATGCATAGTCTATCTCAGTATCCGTCAATCCTAGAAAAAAGAAAAATTTGAAATGAAATGAAAACTAAATGTCTTACAGATCAAATTTACCTTTCTTCTTTAAGAATTCACGTTTTTTCTCCATTGTTTCAGCTGCCACTTTTGTATTCTTTAGAAATCCGATTGCTGTATCGACCTAGAAGAAAATTTCGATGGTAAAGACAATGAATTTCAATTTCCATTGATCTCCTACCAAATCCGACCGAATAGTACCTGTCGTCGTCTGGTCTGTCATCTAGAATATCTTTTATCTAGAATAATGAAAACAAAAAACATTAGAAAAGTATATATTTATCACAGGTCCAAATCATCATCTTCATCTTCATCAATATCATCCTCTTTGTCATATGAATAATGAATCGTACAGCCATCGTTTGATGTTTGCATACTAAAGAAAAATGAATTTGGTTTTCTTGAAAAATTTAAATCGAACCTTACTGCTGCTTAGTGTACGGAAGAACGAGATTATTCTTTGCAGCTAGCTCATCATCTTTCAGACGGAGATTGAAGGTTAAATTAGCAGTGACATCAGTCTAGAAATTGACAAATGTTTTCGATTTCCAGGCGAATCGTGAAGAATATTTACTTTCGATGATCCGTCTGCATTAGTCGTGGATTTACTTTTTCGATTGCTCAGTTTTTCTTCACGTAAATTGATAACGTTCAACTGTGAATCGATCGAGAATGTCAATGACTAATAGAAATTTTGTAAAGAAAAGCAGGTTTTCATAGAAAACAACCAACAGTCTTAATTGTATTGACACTTGTTCGCGATCGTTGTTCAATTTTTGCTTCGATTACTTCTAACTTCGTTGCCGTCTTCACTCGAACAGTTACATGTGATATTGCTATCAAATTTTTCAGACTGGAATTTTCATCAAGACAATTAGCTGGCACCACTGCCATCACCATACTTGTTTCTGATGAAAGAAATTCTAAGCCTGCTGCGAAATAGTCTTGATATTCTTACTACTCCAGTTGTTCAATATACGGAATAGACTTCCCTCAGATGTTCGTAGCAGTAACCAAGGAAGACATTCGATAACAATCAGATCTTTTTCTTCGGTTATTTTCAGACATTCGTCGATGGATTTTTTCGAATGAATCTCATCAAATATATCAATGACATGCATTCTAAACAAATTCGATACATATCTCATAAGGAAAATCAATAAATATACTTTGATTTCAATTCCGGACGATGTGCGAACACATGAGATTGGAACCAAGTCGACTCATCATGTTCTGTTAAGAATACATTCACGTTCGAAAATCTAAACACAATCTTGTAAAGGAAAATTCTCAAAGTCGACGAAGAAGATTTTCACTTGTTGAGAGTTTCACATGCATATGCACAAGCAAATTGGAATCCTAGTGATGAATTCGATGGAGTTTCGTCTAGAAGCAAGATTTCAAAGGCGTATGAAAGCTTTGATTGTGAGTCCGAACATACCGATAATTAAAACCAGTGATGGTTTTAATTGATTATTTAATCGAGATGATAGCATGGTTTATGTTTGGATGAATACGATAAGCAAAACTAGACGAAAAAAGTAGAAGTTGCATGATAAGTTTTCCTATTGGTTATTGGACAAGCCAATCAGATGTGAAGATATACCTCTATTTTTTGTCTTTCGGTTATTTGCTATTACACGAAGAAAGAAAAATTTCGAAAAAAATAATATACGTATACCTTGTTTACTCTATCCCTAAATAACTCATATTAATCGATGATTATTTCTCACTGACTAACTGACAATATCAAAACATCATTTCTCTTGTAGAAAAATAGCATTTTCAAATGACAAACCGAGGTAGATTTCTGAATAGTCGACGAGCAAACAAGAATTTTAATCGCAATAAAAAGAAGTAAGTTCAGACATAATGAACCCACAGTAGCTCACTTCGTTTGTTTATCGTATTTTAGAACACCGCTTGAAGATGACAGCATGTCGATTATTTGTTTCAAAGATTCAGATGTAAATTCAAACTGAACTTCTCTCAAAAATCGAATTCATTTACTCATTTAGACTGGTCATGTTGGTACTGTTCGCATTCGTCAACAAATCTTCTGTACCCTATGTAATTTAATCCGTGGAACATTGTCTCTTTATTTCAAACATGTTATGGATGATCAGCATCACGAACATGTGAAGAAATTATGTGATGAGAACTGTTTCATGCCGACCGTTTATGATCAAGCTGTCCATTTAGGATTTTATAATAATGTAAGTAGCGAAGACAGTTTTATTTTCGGAATATAAATGGAGAAAACATATGTTATTGATGCGTCTATATTTGGAGGACGATAATCGAAGAACGGCCTTGATTTTCAGACAGAAATAAATAGTTTCTTCCTTGTATACGGTAGATTTACAACTAGTTTTATTTTTTCTACATAGATTTGTTATCAAACTGATAAGTTTCATTTCCGTTACAAATACGCCGCTGAAGAGCCTGATACAATAGTGCCAGAAGTCAAGACTTCAGTCAATGATAATGCATCTGAGGCGAACAAAATGGAAACCAATTCAACGCAACCGAAAATAGCTCTATCAAATACGACAAAGCAACGAAGTATTCAAGTCACCCTTGTCTTTCAAGATAAAACTTACTCCCGCACCGGTACAGTTCTTGCACAAATTCGCGAACAACTTCTCAAAGATATGCTCGTTGATCGTGCTGATGATATCGCGGCAATCCCAATTCAATTCTACTATTCCAAGAGTAAGTAAATTCACATGTACACAGAAACGAAACAATCGATCTTTAGTTCACGTATAATTAAGTATCGTAGTTCGTCTATATCGATCTTTCTAACCGAGAGCGATGTTCAAAAACTGTTTTCTCTCAATCTCTTACTGGTCGAATATGTATATATTCAGCGTATATGTATTTAATTTTTGTAGAAAAATCTACGTCCGATTATATTTATGACAATATTCCAAATAGTTCTGTTACTTCACCTCCGGCCGAAGAACAGTCACAGGTCATACGTCAGCAGCAGCAAGAACCGCTGAGTGACGATCAAATGTCTTCTGCTGAATGCAGCAGAAAAGACAACGGTGTGACACCGACTATTGCTATGACCACACATGAGATATCGACGGCAGAAAAAACTCATTCGAATGAACAGCCGTCATGTGACGATGACGTGATGAATGTCTGCAAGGTAATTATACGAAAATTTCATTTTCGAATTAGAAGCATGCGACAAAATAGATCTACACAACAAGAGATTCACATAGATAGACTAGTCATGCTAATCTTAATGTCGTTTGTATTTGTTACAAGTCGAATCATGTCGTTGATATTTTCATTAGTATAGTATTACCATTGTTTAGGATGTGTTAAATAATATTCTCGCTGACGCGTATTCGAAAACGGATGAATACAAACGTGAACGAGAACTTCTATTTGGAATCGCACGACGAAGATACAAGAAAAGAAAAGCATTCTTTTGTGATATATGTTCAACCTTCTTAATAACCGAAGACTTGTGTACTGCAGTAAATATTTCAACGTTCTTAGTTCTTTCATGTTCGCATTCTCCTCCTGCTTTTCAGCATCAAAATAGTGAGAAACATTTGGAAAAAGTTTGTCATTATAAAACCGAACTTTTGCCATGGCGTCGCGCTATGCAAGAAGTAAGTTTATTTACTTATATCATTAAGTGCATATCTATCGTCTTCTTAGTCTTTGATCACCGGTAAACCGATGAAAGATATTATAGGTGCTACTGCGTATGCAGATTACAGAGCGACAATGGCGTATTATCTTGCACCGAATAGCATACATAATCATGGCCGTTTTTGTTGTGCATATTGCGAGTTGACTTTCTTCGATCAATGGCTCTTAGAACAGGTAGAGTAAAAATTCTTCTAAATGTTGTCTAAGGTGAATGATGAATTTGATTTTAGCATTTAAATTCAAGTGAGCATAAGAAGAAAAAAACATCAACGAAGCATAGAGAACTTGTTCCCGTATGTATTGGATCTTTGAATGAACATTTATTATGTGTTTTATTTCGCTTGTTTAGCATTTTGCGGATATGACTATCTTACCGAATGTATATCGATTGAATGGTGTGAAGGACCTTGCTGAGGTTCCGGCCAATATTAAGAAGGAAGAATCATGGTCCAGTGCGACATTGAAGCAACTTGATGACGATACTAATTCGTTTCTTCAACAGTTTCCCTTTGGTGAATTTGAAGGGGTAACACGTATTACAAATGGTAAAACACCGCGAAATCAAGGACCACCAGCTATTCAGACACCACCAACGCAAAAAGCATGGAAAAAGGAGAAAGTTCCGGCAAAATACATCCCGAACAAACGTGGAGGATTGAATCGAGGAAATCTGGGACAACCTCAACCGACAGTGTCCCATGGAGGTACGTCTTCATTGAACGTATCCACACATGTATATCATTGATTCTGATATACTTTTTTTTTAGGAAAAGCCGCAAAACGATCGTTTCCTGGCACGCCTGTATTTAATAAGCGATTTCGGCAAGATATGAATAATTCCTTTCCAGGAGCAAACCGTGGCCCAGGACTGCTGAGAAATTACGAACCGAGTTCATATAACTATGGCCAAACAGGACCTACTAATAATGGAAATAATCGTTGGCCACCTGCATACCCTAATAATCAACAACAAAAACAACAACCACAACCACTACCACCACCACCACAACAACAACGGCAAGAATACTACCAACAACGAAATTTCGACACACGATCGTACCCGACGAATAGCAACACTAATAATAACAACGCATTTTATGACAATCATAATCCGCTGATGATGTCCAATACTAATAATTATGACAATGAACGTCAGTTAAGATTCAATAACGGTGCTGACCCAGGATACCCTAATCAGCAGTCGAGTTATAATAGTTCATTCAATCGTCCATCGACAAATGTAATTTTGTTCATATTCGATTAAATTTTATTGATTTATTCGATTTTGTTTTCTTTCAGTTCGTAAACGATTATCCTACTGAACCGATTCCATCGAATCGTCTTCATCATCGAGAAAACACTGGTCCAAACAATAGATTCGGACATGCTAACATGAATAATCATCAACGTTCTCAACAACTACAACAGGAAACAGCAAGACCTTCGTTAACGCAAGTTCAATATCCAAATTCCAATTCTTTCCACGGTTTTGGTACGCATAATAGTAATACGATGAATTCATCGTTTTTCCCCTCTCCAAATAATCATCAACAGAATTCGATGGCAATAGATGGCCAATCAATAAATTCATATGCTGATTATCGAGCGTCATCTGCTCTTCTTCCAGCAAATAATCCTTCTACTGCATATCCACCAGTTCGTAGCTTATCCAATTCAACTGGACCCCAAAATCAAATGTTTACTGATTTTCCTCGATCAAACATAGAAGGATCGAACTTCAATACTTCAGGACATCAAAGTCTTATGCCACCATCGTATCAGACACCATGGCGTGATTCATCGAATGGCATGAATGCTGCTCATGGCCGGGGTAATACTTTTCGCCATGCGAATAAGCAGTCAAATTCCACCTTTTCACATTCCAACAATAACAACAATCGTATGAATTCATCGGTAAGAGGACGGGGTTCTGGTCAAAACACTCGATTTTTCGGTGGTCGACGATAACTTAAGGATATTCAAGCAATCCATAGACATTGATCCGTTTTGTTGATCATTTTCAAATCTTCTACTATTGCTATATTGTTACTAATATTCTTGTTCATTTTATTCAAGTATTCAGTGCGTGTGTCTTTTCCAGCTTGTTACATTTCTCGAAATAGTTATCTTTTTCTGAAAATTTTGACGTAAAATCGTTTACGAGCAAAAAATACTAATACATTCTAGAAACAAAGGGACAGAAACCAACACTTTCTTTCAATTTTATAGATTAAGACAGTCAGATGACATCACAGTCTTCAGCGATTCATCGACGTAACAGTGCTGCTGTTCATCCATTTCCGAATCCTTCGACAGTTGTCATTGTCCTTGGTGCTCAATGGGGTGATGAAGTAGGCTAGACAGATAATTATCGTGAAAATATCTCATTTTTCTATTAGGGAAAAGGTAAATTGGTCGATTTATTGGCATCGGAAGCCGATATTGTCTGTCGTTGTCAAGTAATTGACATTTTCATTGAATATATCACCTATAAAAATATACACAGGGTGGTAATAATGCTGGTCATAGTGTCGTAGTCGACGGAGTCGAATATGACTTTCATATGCTTCCGTCTGGCTTCCATTTACAAAATTGCGTGAATATTATCGGTATGATTTGAATGAAGAAGGACGAAAATGCTTAGTAGATACATTTTGTAGGTAATGGATGCGTCGTGAATTTGCCTGAATTAGTTGAAGAAATAAAGAAAAATGAATCTCGTGGTGTCACTGACTGGTCTCGGCGATTGTTTATTTCTGATCGAGCACATTTGGGTAATCATCAATGATGAATAGAGTGGAATGCGAATTCGTAATTATCATATTTAGTTTTCGATTTTCATAAACAAACCGATGGATTAATCGAACGAGGGCGCGGCACTAGTAGGTGAGTTCTTCTCAACTAAAATCTTTCGCTCTAAACCTTTCTAATGATAATCATAACCCATATTCATCAGTCTCGGCACAACTAAAAAAGGTATCGGACCAACATATTCATCAAAAGTAACACAGCGTTATGCACACAAGAATGTCAATTCAAAATTCATTATCGTTTCTAGGCAACACGTAATGGTATTCGTATGATTGATTTAATGGGTGATTTTGCCATCTTCGCCGAAAAGTTCGTGTTACAACAATCGTCTTCCAGTATATTTTACTTTTCCTAATCTATAGATTACGTAACCTTTTCAATTATTATAAATTAACTTTTCCCGATTTGGAAGGTGACATTGAGAAAACAATTGAACAATTCAAAGCACTTGCTGATTATTTCCGTCCAATGACTATTGATACGATAGCTTACTTGAACCAAGCTATCATCGATGGTTCGAAAAAGATTCTTGTCGAAGGTGCTAATGCTACAATGCTTGATATTGACTTTGGAACATATCCATATGTGACTTCATCAAATTGTAGTGTTGGTGGTGCATGTACAGGCTTAGGTTTACCACCAAAACATATTGGCGATATTTATGGTGTTGTGAAAGCTTATACAACGCGTGTTGGTGATGGTGTATTTCCTACTGAATTGAAAAATGTAAGTGAAACTATTTTCAGCGGGATAATTGATTGATTTTGTTTGTTTTAATAGGAAATTGGTGAACATTTACAAACACGTGGACGTGAATGGGGTGTTACGACAGGCCGAAAGCGCCGTTGTGGTTGGCTTGATTTAGTTCTATTGAAATATACTAATATGATCAACGGTTTCACAGCATTATGTTTAACAAAACTTGATACACTCGATGAACTAGCAGAAATCAAAGTGGCCACAACGTACAAAAGAAATGGAGTCGAACTTCCAAGTTTTCCTGGTAAAAGAACTGTTTTCTCTAATCACTTTACTTGCTAATCTCATTCGAACCTTTGTTTATTAATAGCATCAGTAGATACGATGCATGATATCGATGTTGAATATGTCACTTTTCCTGGTTGGCGTGGACGATCAACATCCGAATGTCGCACGTTTAACTCGCTTCCACACAATGCAAGACTTTATGTTCAATTTATCGAACAGTATCTCGGCGTACCAGGTTCGTAGAATCTATTGCGCTTCGAATCTGGTTGTTACTAAGTTTTTCTTCTAGTTAAATGGATCGGTGTTGGTAAAGATCGCATGGCAATGGTCCGTGTGTTTTAAGAATCTCAATATATTCTTCATATGACAAAATTTCAATTGATAATTAAAATATTTTCTTGGAGTTTGTGAACCTCATTCATTTCCTTTTATCACGGATTGACAACGAATAACATAGTTAGATATCTCTATATTTTCTCATGATCTGTAGTGTCTTTTTTCCTTTCCTATCAGCCGTAATATAGCATTTGACATTTTTTTTTCTCTTCTCGGTTTTCTTAGTCACCTCTATACGCGCAAAAACAACACATTTTACGAATTCGACGATTACTTAAATATATACGTATATATATAAATTGACAAGAATATCTCATTTGTTATTATTTTGTCTGATACAATTGGGTAGGCAAGTGAAATAATAATCTTATTATCAGCTAAAATTGAATCGAAATGACATTTTATCAACAGAACGTGAAAGTAATGCAATCTTTGATTCATCGAAGGGTCCACTTCTGTTTTTCATTCAATACACTTTAGAAAGGATTATGTTTGTAATGCGAATTAATATTCAAACTCTTCTATTCGACGATTGCACACACGAAAATAATCATTTCATCATTATGTCATTTCAATTTCTAAACCTAAACATTGTAATATCGAAGCACGATTAATAATTGACAATTTGATTTCAAAATGTGTACTTTTCTCTCTGATTCATAATCAATGTTCTCTCAAAAGTGAAAGACGTGTACCTTATACACAGGTACCACATCATTGCAAGCTGAAATGCATCCTTTAAAGATTCTCTCTTGTGTTTTTTATTCGTTGTCCTATCGTCTACGTAGTGAAGGACATGGAGAACAAGAAGAAAAGGTTTTCTAATCTTCTTTTTTTACATAGACAAATGTTAAATATTAATGATGTTTCGATCTGAACTACACACATAATCATAAGAAATTTTGTTCTACAATTGCAGATGACACTGAATATTGACTCTGACTCCATTACTGGTGAGTTGCTTCGTAATCTCAAAAATATAAGTCCAGATACGATCATTATATCTTTGCTATTCTTTGTTTTGATATCGGAATACGTCCCTTTTCGATATAAGGATACTTTATGATTATTATCAACATCAAGATAAAACAGAATACCGTTATAGGTATAATAAAATAAAAGACACAAGACCTGATTTTTTACACGTACGACATGCTACAGGTGCTGTGAAAAGGAATTCTTTTCTCTGAGTAGTCTGAAACTAATGTATTTCGTGTTCATCTTTAGAATAATCAAGTCATCCCTATCACACCATCACTATCGCCTTCTTCTTGTTCTCTAGCTGACAGTGATTTCATTCATCAGCGGCATGTTCATTCATCTGCAACAACATTAGATACTGTCGAACATCGACGTGCATCTATCGCATCAGTTGTTCATCCAGATCCGTTAGGTCCTGTCGCTCCTAACGATGAAGTCACATTGAAAAGGCATCTCGGTCTATTTTCTGGTGTTTGTTTCATCATTGGTATCATTATTGGTAATCGAAATCGATGCTGAGTATATGTGATATGGATAGTTATTGTGCTTAGGATCTGGAATATTCGTATCGCCAAAAGGTGTACTAAGAGAAACACAATCCGTTGGTCTATGTTTAGTAATATGGATGGCATGTGGATCAGTATCTTTACTTGGTACGTTCTACCAGTAAAAGATGCCTTGAGTGTATGAAATCATATTCTACTTAGGTGCACTCTGTTATGCAGAGATTGGCACTGTGATTCCACGTAATGGTGCAGAAGTTGCCTATATGAAGGAAGGTATATGGTGAAGATTATGGAAACTAGTCGGATGAATTTGATATCTTCCTCTTTAGGCATTGGCTCATTACATGAACGAACAGGTGATATTCTAGGCTACTTATTTAGTTGGACAAACACACTTATTCTCAAGCCAACAAGTATCGCTGTACTAACTCTAACATTTTCTCAATATTTTCTATCTGGTATTATGGATGGTAGGTGTGGATCTATACTTTCGATTTTAAGACGCCGTTAATGGGTGTACTGTTTAGACTGTGGACCACCGGAAGAACTTGTCAAAATGACGGCAGTCTTTGCTCTTCGTATGTTTAACTTCTGTCAGATTTGATGACATTTCCGTACTATCTAACGTTAGTGATGCTAATTAACGTCAACTCACTAAGTGTATCTGCAGCTAATCGTTTGAATATTCTTTTCGTCATTTGTAAAATATCGACGATTGTAACAGTGATCATCGCAGGTCTTGTACGCATTGGGCAAGGTTTGTAGCTTTTATTGAATACGAACGCATCAGATCTGGCTTTTTTTATAGGACACACACAGAATTTACAAAATGGCTTTGCTGGTAAGAATGCCAGGTCTTGATTGATAAATCAATCAATAAAATATTTTCGCTGTTAACAGGTACAACAAATAAGCCACTCGGTGTCGCACTGGCATTTTATTCTGGTCTTTGGGCGTACGACGGTTGGAATTCTCTCAATTCAGTCACAGAAGAATTAAAAAATCCGAGACGGTACAGTATTGCCTTGACGAACCTTGCAGAAAGCATCGGCTATGACCATACCTGCATTCATTGATTGTATTAGGAACCTTTGGCTGTCAATCGTCTTGGCTCTACCTTTTGTTATGATATGTTATCTGCTAACGAATATCTCTTATTTTACTGTCATGAGTAAAGGAGCATTGCTCAGTTCAAACGCTGTTGCTGTGGTCTGTATGAATAAAACATCTACTCTCATTTGTATTCAATCTCATATCTTTACATAGACATGGGGTGAGACAGTACTAGGTCCTGCAGTTCGTGCTCTACCAATTCTAATTTCAATCAGTGCTTTGGGAAGTGCGAACGGTAGTTTGTTCGGAGCTGCTCGGTATTGCATGGTTAGCTCTCAATATGGTTATCTACCAGAAGTATTTGCATGTATTCACTCGAGACGATTAACGCCAGTACCTGGAGTTGTTCTACAGGTTTTACTTTGTTATTGAATATTCAATCAATTGTCATGTTTCTTTTGCCCATTAAGGGTGTCTTTGCTATTGCTTTTTGTCTTCCAAGCAATATCGATAGTCTGATTGACTTTTTCAGTTTTGCAGCATGGATTTTCTATGGATTAACATTTACTGCTACACTCTGCTGCAAATTTACAAAGAAAACTGCGAACAGAGTGATCAGCGTATGTATTTCTTCGCTGTGAATTGAGCTGGAAGAACGAAAATATATTTTGTCATTTCGTTAGGTACCTCTTCCATTAAACATCATTATCATATTGATTTCTGTTTATTTGGTCGTTGCTCCATTGATTGCAGCTCCAAGTATTGGATTCCTTATTGCTGGTGCCTTGATCTTATTCGGCCTAGTTTTCTATTATCCATTCGTCTATCGGAAAATAGAATTGACCATTATCAGTAAGAGAAAAATAGTCTTACAAACAAAACATAATGAGTCTAATTTATTTGTTTACTAGCAAAACTCAATGCTTTTCTCATTACATTCTTTGGATTGAAACGAGCGCAAGTGAACATTTAATGGTCAAGTGAAGTATTTTATACGACGATAAACACGCCTGGACATCTGTCTGGATTTTAAAAACTTTTTTAAATGTATTCTCTACTAACATCAGTAAAATTTATAAAAACGTACGGAGACAAATCATTTTGTATTTCGAATGAGGAACTTGAATTAAATAACGTGCATTTATTTCCAAAAGCAAGAATCGCACATTGATTTTAATATATTCTTTTCAGTGCCCGTTGTCGTTGTTCTGAAGACGCGGCGTAGTGCAAGTGAAATACCACATAAGAGAAAATGTCTTCAACTCTTCTTTTCTCTTTACCATAAATGTTATACGGTGATAGTGCCATATTGCAAATCAAATCTAACATCCCTTCAAATAACCTTTACACTTTGAAATGAATCCAGATAGTGGCACGAAGAAAAGTTTTGGTAGGTCGCAGATATATGTCGGATTGCATCGACCAGGTACATACCTATTCAGTTACTATGGCAAAAGATATTAGATCCCATCGACATGTCTCTCTTGCATCTGTTGCTCCTAACGATGAAGTCACATTGAAAAGGCATCTCGGTCTCTTCTCTGGTGTTTGTTTCATCATTGGTATCATTATTGGTAATCGAAATTGATGCTGAGTATATGTGATATGGATAGTTATTGTGCTTAGGATCTGGAATATTCGTGTCACCAAAAGGTGTGTTGAGAGAGACACAATCAGTTGGCTTGTCTCTAATTATTTGGGCTGTGAGTGGATTGATTACCACGCTTGGTATTAATTATATAACGGAAGAAAAGTTCATTAGATGATAGTGTTACGTTCTTTTAGCGGCGCTTTGCTATGCAGAGATTGGCACTGTGATTCCACGTAATGGTGCAGAAGTTGCCTATATGAAAGAGGGTATAGTGTATAGAAACACCCAGCATGAATCCTATTTCATAGAAACGGCAAAAAAGTAAAACAGAATTTATTTCGGGTAGGTATTGGGTCATTGCATCAACGAACAGGTGACGTGTTAGCATATTTGTGTGTGTGGTCAAATGCATTTATCATCAAACCATCCACGATTGCCGTTCTTGCTCTGGTTTTTTCTCAATACTTCCTATCCGGTATCATGAATAGTAATATTTCTATCATCCATAGAACACATTCCATCCGTAACTTTCTACATATTTAGATTGCGAACCAACTGACGAAATGGTTAAATTACTAGCAATTTTAACGCTTTGTAAATTTATTATCAGTCTATAGCATTATTCGTTTGACCCGTCTACGGTATTTCTAGTAATATTAATCAACGTCAATTCACTTAGTGTATCAATAGCAAATCATCTGAATATCGTTTTCGTCATTTGTAAAGTGTTAACCATCTTGACAATTGTCATTGCTGGTTTCGTTAGAATCGGACAAGGTTTATCTTTTTTTTCCTTATTGCTTAGTTAACAAAAACCAAACGTTTCTTAGGATACACACACAATTTGAAAGACGGTTTTGCCGGTAGAGGACGATTATTATCGATCAGTTGAAGAAGCTTATGATCTTTTGATTAAAATAGGGACAACAAATCGACCGGCAGGCGTGGCATTAGCATTCTATAGAGGACTCTTTGCGTATGGTGGTTGGCATGTATTAAACTCAGTCACAGAAGAACTCAGAAATCCAAAAAGGTATGTCAAACGCACGATCTACTCACAATAGAAGTTGATCATGAAATAACAAACATCTCTTTAGAAACCTGTGGTTGTCTGTTACACTAGCTCTGCCTACTGTTACTTTACTCTACGTTTTTATTAACATTTCATATTTTACAGCTATGACAAAATCAGAATTACTTGCTTCTAATGCAGTTGCTGTCGTATGTAGAAAGCATTATCGCCATACTTTATAGGTGATGTTCTACTACATATAGACATGGGCCGAAGTAGTGCTTGGCCCTGCTGTTCGTGCACTGCCAATTTTGATTTCGATTAGTGCACTAGGCAGTGCTAATTGTTGCTTGTTTGAAGCAGCTCGATGTTGTATGGTTGGTGCTCAATATGGATACTTGCCAGAAATATTCGCTTGTATTCATGTTCAACGATTGACGCCCCTGCCTGGCGTTATTCTACAAGTGTGTCTAGTTATATACTTTGATTTATTCTAATCGTTGCTGTTTGATAGGGTTGTGTGGCGATTGCTTTCTGTATTCCAAGCAATATCTATGCGTTAATAGACTTTTTCAGTTTTGTTTGCTGGATATTCTATGGATTAGCGTTTACTGCTACACTTTGCTGTAAATTTACAAAAAGAGATGCCAGGAGGACCATCAGCGTAAGCAACTGATTTACTTAGAAGAAAAATGTATTTATGCAAATGATATTTAGGTACCCATACCATTGATCATCATCATGATTTTAATTTCGATATATCTAGTCGTTGTTCCGGTGGTATCATCTCCAAATACAGGATTTCTTATTGCAGGACTTATTATTCTCTTCGGACTAGTTTTCTATTACCCATTCGTCTATCGGCAAATCGAATTACGCTTTATCAGTAATAGATCTTTTTCATCATTTTTACATATCAATGCTTTTATTTTAGATGAGATAAATTCATTTTTGCAAGTATTTTTCAAACTACAACGAGCACAGATCCACATTTAATACACGCACATATATACCTAGCTAGTTTCGATACATGTGTCCGTAGTTCATTTTCAAACGAATAAACTTCATTTTTTTCTCTCTTCTTCTCGAATTTGACAAGCAGGTAATGTTGTACTTTTCCATTCCCTATTCTGACATTCAATATCAATAATCGACAAAGACGAATCAACCAGAACTGCATTTTTGTTACACGAATATCTTGCTAATGTATAATATTTCATATTATTATGCATAACAAAAGATTCTGCACTTTTCCAACCGTTTTCAATCGTGTCAGGCATTGGATCCAGACAGCCCGATGCTAAACAAAAGACAGTAAATAGAAAACGAAAAGCTGCCAATAATACACGTACGGATGCATCGAGGTCGTGGTCCCCATCGACCGTTTCGACACTGAATATGCAAGGGACCAGATTGACGATCATGAACAAATTTATCCAAACATTGATATGTTGCACGACTACCATCATCATAGTATCCTTCAGTAGTTAATTTGGCACTAATCCGCGTTCGAGCATTCGGAATGGTTATCCCACTTTGACAACGACGCTTGAATGGAGCTAGAAATAGAATCTTACGTCAAAATATTCTATTCAAACAAGAACTTGATGACAAACCAATGCACGATACTGGTAATGCTGACCATTGTCCATTTTCCATGCATGTCATATTAAAAATGGAATTTTCGTTATTGGTTTTATTGACACAATTTACAAGAACATATGATCCGGGTAGTGCTTCGTTGGTTGAAGTGTCAAATACATTAATCATCGAATTGATAATCGAAAGTCGTGATATGTCAATAGGTAATGGAAGTGAACATCGAGGTTTTTCTTTGAGAAAAGATATGATAGTTGAATGGATATTTAGAATGGATAACTCGCTTACCCATGCAAACGGTTTTCGGATGAAAAACACCATTGTGACAAGTCAGTCGAAATGGTTCATGTTCACTTGTGTCACTCATGAAACCCAATTGACAAACGTATAAAAGTGAACCAGAGTAAGTGGTTTCGTTATTTGAATTTGATTTGATTGTATCGTCACTTAACAATAGAGCATTTTCAATCTCTGGCAATTGTTTACAGTGAGATACAATATGCCGAACGCGACGATCACCAACAGCTATAGATCGAGTAGATGAAGCCATCGTTGCATTTGAAACATTCATCATTGTAACATTTTCATAGTTATCGACTGTATTATTATATTCAGCTGCTGTACCAGGCATGATTATTGTCGAAGTATCAAGTGATACTTCTTCCGGTAACTGACGTAATTGGCACATACTTGCATTTATTGCATCTAATGACCATGTTCCATTTATTAAACAGATCGTATGACTTGATTGGTCCAGTAGAGATTCATATCCTGACTTGCATCTGTAACTTAGCTTAGTATCAACATCATAAGTTATATTTAATGGTGATAGAACTATATCAGCATTTGTTACAAGTGGAATATCATTCGAATCACAAGTAATAGGATGGACAGTACTGATTGCGATAGTGCTACTCATAGTCTCGGCTTGAATCGATGTCTCAGTTGGATTTTCCGTTAAAAGAACCAAGTTATCACTTGATTGCGAAGCTTCTTCAGCGACTGTGTCGATTATTTCAGTAGCTAACGTGTAAATGGCTGATAAAATAGAATACAAACGTACGTAGAATAGATTAAACACATGTTATTGTTTTACCGCGACATATGGGAGTTCCAGTCCAAGTATTCGTACTGCGCTGACATCGAATTGTCAAGGATGGACTGGATGGATCATGTTCAAAATTCGGTAAACACTCTCGAAGAACATACGAATTGTAAACGAAAGCTTGTGGATCACGAATGTATTGCAACGATACTGAATGAAGAATAAGAAAGTGAATTGCGGCGTTACACTTCCGAATACTCACCATTATAAACATAAGAATTTTCTGCTTGCGACTCTATAGCCAATAGATCTTGTTTTGGACATGTAGGCATTTCTGAAAAGAATCCAAGTCAATCTTTAGTAGTATTATTTACATCGGTCTTTGATCAATACCTTGACAATCCGCGACGCTAGTCCACGCACCATTAATACATTCACTGGTGATTTGATCTTTCTCATCCAATGTTTCAAAACCATAATTACATTCATAAACGATTCGACCCGTATATGTTTGATCTTCCCAGATCGTCACGTTATAAACAGCCATATATCCATTTTTGATATAAGTAGGATAACTACATCGAACTGGTTGCTCAGTTTGATAAACAACTAAACACATTGCATTCGAATAGAAATATCAATAGTCTTTATCTTACATTCGCAAACTGGTAATGCAGACCATGAGCCTGATTCCAAACATTGAACAATTAGTGATGTTTGGTCACCGCGTAAACGATAGCCCTCGTCACATGCATATTCTAAACTACTTCCAACCTACAAGGCAAGAAAGTTCTATTAATAGTTTTCTTTAAACAGATTAAAACTTCGTTCAATTGCACAATGATTTGAATATGATCGTACGCATTTTCAGATATTCTAGTGGGAATTAGCATCATTTTTATCAATTATACAAAATGATTAGCTCGCTTCGGTACGATCGACGCAGTGCTATTGAATAAGAGAAAGACCTAATCACATTAGCAATTAGTGTATTCATAACCAAATAAGTCATGCTAATGATAATGATAATGGCCCAACAATATTACTCAGCTCCATTGACTCAGCCAACTTACCGCATGAAGCTGTCGATCATGTTCGGAAAATTTCAAATCCATCCGTATGATACGTGATCCAGCTGGTAGATACAACTTTGAATAATTACATAATCCTTGAACATCTACAATACACTTGAACTCGATCAGACAAAAGAGTCATATCACAAATTGTTTACATCTGCAACTCGGCATTGGCGTCCATGATCCCTCATTTTGACATTGTATAGTTAATGATCCTTCCGATGTTGGATCAAGTTCATACTTATCTTGACAGCGTAAAGTGACGATTGAACCAGCGATGATTTGTTGAGGATCGTTTTGAAAATAAGTTATATTATCCGATACAACAATTGTATTTCTTGGATACGTTTGAATTGGTGAACATCGTCGTTTTGCTAAAAGACAAACAGATCCAATAAACATGAATTCCAATAGACTCAGATGAAAATTTACGAATGCATTGAGTCATTTTTGACCAGATGCCATTTTGACATGTGACAATTTTATTTCCAAGAAGGTTATAACCTGGTAAACACATATATTCCATACTACCCAAGTAACCTTTTCCAGTATAATACGACACTCGATCACGTTTAATAATTCCATTTGTTAATTTCGGTGGTGAACTTTTGCAATACAATAAACTCTCTACACAACAATTCTTTTCAATTTGCAGGTTAAAAAAAAGTATTGTCTCTTATTTACCATCAATGTCAGCCAAGCAAATGGACAATATGTAGGCACAAACAAAGAATTGAAATAGCATCTTTTCTTTAGTTTCGAGCAAGGCGAATAGACGATGAAATGTTGTATTGACTGCTGTATATATTATTCCTCACTTGTGCTAGTTTGATTCTCAAGAGAATTACCCAACGAGACATTTTTCTCTCTCGAATGGAAATTAATTAATACAAAGAGAGGAGAAAAACAGCGTTGTAGCGCATATTTTAGAACATCGATACCAATCACTGCATGACTTTTTTCAACGTGCAATGGCAACAGTCCATCCACTCGAAAGATTAGATAATTATCGCGAGAAAGGCGAAACATATCAGTCATATTTTGTTTTGTAACTCATAATCTAATTCACCAATAAAATTTCAATATGTTGCCTTTACGATGAATCAGCTGATAGTTTATCTGAGTGGAAGAGCAATAGCGAGGTTATTTCCAACACGATTGTGAAGGGAGCTTTTCATGACGCAGTTTCAAGCATGGTGGAAAGAAAAAGAAAGGAAGAAAACATTGTAAGCTGTACTATTCATCTTGTCATTTGAGTTTCTTTTTCTTCACGCAAAACAGCAATGTCGAATACCAGTGTACGCGTATTTAATGAATGATTGCCATTCGTTTGAATTAAACAATTCTGTTTTAGATTATTCGAGTTCAATCGTCGGAAGGAACGAAAAGAATCACTATCACTTCGCAAGATACTTTCAAAAGTCTGTATGAGAAAGTGAGACAAAGATTTTTTTCACAGGCAGAATAGACTTTATAAATGTATTTGTATAGACAGCGGAGGCATTTGCGTTCTCGTCATACGAACAATTTACTTTATATAAAGAACAAAATAAAAAATCTCCATTACAGCCAACGAAACTACCAATAAATCTTCGGTTTTTTTATATAACAACACGCGAATATTCCTATTTCATTCTTCGTTTTTAAGACACGGTGATCTTGTTTATTTTGTATCGGAACAGAGCAATGCTCAATCGAATCCAATATCATCATCAACAACAACACATATTGATTTCTTGTCGAAATTAATCGATCGCGAAGAAGACGATGTTGACAAACAATTGGATATAGTTGACGGAAGGATTCCACGAGAAAAAAATCCACAACTGTAAAAAGAAATTTTTGTATTTTTTTAAAGGCAAACTCGCAAGTATTTCCATGTTTTAGATGTCACCATGGCGCACATGGCAAATGTTTACATTGCATACCAATAGAACCTTACGATGAAGAATATTTGAAAAATCATAAACCTCCTATAAAGCATATGTCATTTCAGAGTTACCTCAGGAAACTACAAAACTCGACAAACGGTGATAAGTAAAAGAGCAAAACGAACTATTTTCGAGTGATTCTTCTTTTTCGAACTGATAGATTTTCCAGTTTGAAGAATATTAGCTGTTCAGTAAAAGAAAAATGCCCTGCAGGCCACGCCCCATGGCCTAAAGGTAAGAAGAGCTATTCTTATCGAAAAATGGATTTTAAATAAAAGATATCTGTAGGAATATGTACAGCGTGCCAACCTAGTTCTGTTACACTTATGCGACAAGTAAGTGATCATTTAGAAGTTAATGAATGTCTTCAAGCATTTTTTGCAGCTTTACCGTCATGTGGACAATATTATGTTTGAAAATGGAAATATCGTTGATCGATTTCTCAACTATTGGCGTTCGTTTGGTCACCAACGCATTGGATTTCTTTATGGCCGATACGAAGCTTACAATGCTATACCACTTGGTATTCGGGCTGTTGTTGCTGCCATATACGAACCACCGCAAGTGCGAAATAGAGTTTTGTTCTATTTCAGTTATTATGCAAAGAGGAACGTTTGTTTAGGAAACATCGAAAGATGAAGTTCAGTTGGTTTTACCTGATCCACGAGAGACGATAGCTGAAAGTTTAGCACATCGACTAGGACTCCGTCGAATCGGCTGGATATTCACAGATTTGATTCCGAATGATAGAAAAGTGGGCGATGGACCGGTGTTGCATCATCGAGGAAATGCGGTAGGAATCTAAAATAGAAAAACTAATCCTTTTCCTTTAACCAACAAAGAATGTTTCATTTCTGTAGAACACTTGCTTTCTAACCGCTCAAGAATGCATTACAAGTGGTTGGTTTCAAAATAAACATTTGAATACTTGCAAATACTCGCCCGATGGTTATTTTGGTTCGAAGTTTGTTACCGTCGTTGTCACAGGGAACGCATCCGGTCAAATTCATTTCGAAGGATATCAAGTTTCAAATCAATGTATGGCTCTAGTTAAATCCGAGATTTTACTTCCGACATACGACGCCCCTGAATTAGGTTATATCAAAGAAACAAGTACTGAGCAGCTCGTACCTGATGTTTATTACAAAGTAACAAAGACAAAAATATCTTGAATGAGTATGCAACTTCATTCTATAGGAAAAGGATTCGTACAATAATGAAGTTATGAAAATAGCTCGACCATTACCCTTGGAATACTTGATTATCGATATTCCGACTGGTTTTCCTAGTAATAGTAATTTGCAAATACAGTCAACTTTTAATGACAATTGTTCTGTGATAAAAACGCCATTTTGTATTGAAAACCGAGTCAAAACTGGTGAATTACAAGATATGGATGCTTTTACATTATATTTACAGCAATTTCTCGAAACAAAATCAGTTCGTTCTCAATCGAAATCCTATGAAATCATTGATGTTTTAGCTGATTTTCATGTTTTGCTATATTTGGCAACAAATGACATTGTGCCGTTTTCCATGGTAAGATCTGAATTCATGTACGAGTATAAGCCCATGTCGTATTGTTTAGAATGAACTAAACCCATTACTTGATTCTATACGCCAACATGACCTGAATGGTGTTGAAAAATGGATGACTAGTCCACATTGGCAAACACTTCTTCAACTTCTTCAGCTCCAATGTAAGTGAAATCTTTTTCCATTTCGTAAAACTACAGACATTATCCATTTAGTTCCAACAACCAATCGAAAGTCACATACCAATGTCGATGAACAATCGTCTGAATGGATTTGTTCACGTTGTACTTTTGTTAATAATGTAGCCAGTGAACAATGTGATATGTGCTCATTTGAACAAAATGTTTCTTCTTAAAAATTGAATTGATTTTCATTCGAAGAAAATTTTCATTGAAATAATTTTATTCTAGATTAAGTAAGAATTTAAGAAAAACGAAAGAATGAGTTTCGTAACTGACAAAACTCCAGCTGATGAGACGAATGGACCGGGGAATAGTGCAACTTCTGCACATGATTCTGTTCTTAGATTATCTTTTAATCAAGATTGCACGTAAGAATTGACGACTAATTATGCAAAGTTTAGCTGAAATCTGGTCTTATAGATCATTGGCGATGGGTACAATAAAATCATATTTTCTCTATACAATCGTCCAAGAAAATCAAATCATTGAGAATCGTAGTTCCGGTAAGTAGTATTATCAACAAATTCCGTTTTTTTTCTTTATTGCAATTCCGTTTAGAAATTCGACCATTTCCAAATATTCATCAACTTCGTAAGGCAACGAAAATCTATTCTTCTACTCGAATGTTACTTATTACTTTTTGAAAGCCTACGACAACGTTCGTATAATCGAGCGCTTGTATGCCAGTTCCTTGCTTGCCGTTGTCAGCGATCAAGCACCACGAAAACTAAAAGTGTGTCATTTCAAAAAAGGTACCGAGATCTGTTCAATCTCGTTTCCAAACAATATTCGCACTGTTAAACTCAATCGTTTGGTAACAACGCCATTCTATCTACGATCAATCACGAAATCGTAATCGTTATTTTTACTTTCAGAAATTAATCGTTTGCTTGGATGAGAGTATTTACATTTACAACATGCGTGATATGAAAGTATTACATATGATTCGTGACGTACCGCTAAATCCAGACGGACTTTGTGCATTATCATCAGATGATAAGAGTCAATATCTGGCTTATCCGGGCAGTTCGATAACTGGTGAAATACAAATATTCGATACATCTAATTTAGTTAGTTGCATTGTTTTTTTCTTCTTTCCCTATTATTGTATTTATATATTTTTCGTTCATAGAAACCTGGTGTAACAATTAGTGCTCATGATAGTCCATTGGCAGCTATGGAATTCGATGGAAATGGAGCTAGAATTGCAACAGCATCGAATAAGGTACATTAATGAAAAATGAAAACACACAGATGCTAGATGAATCATTGACTTGTTTCAGGGAACAGTTATTCGTATTCATAGTGTAACTGATGGTACGCGTTTGTTTGAATTTCGTCGTGGCATTCGACGGTAATCGTCGAAAATATCGATCCCTAATGTTTAGCTTGACCTTCATTCGTTTATTTTCTTAGTGTGGCAACAATTTACTGCTTCGCATTTAGTCCTGATTCGAGTTTCCTTGCTGCATCAAGCAATACTGGTACTATACACATCTTTCGATTAGTCACCCAGAAAGAAAAGTATCTACTTGCGTATATGCTCTTATTAACGGATATATCTTATCATTTATGTTCTACTCTTAGGCCAGCAGAGGCGCCAGTGTCATGGATGGGTACATTCAGTCGTGTGTTGGAAGATGTGGCATATTATTTGCCAAAACAAACGTCTGAAGTTTTAACACAAGAACGTGCTTTTGCAACGGTTCATCATCCATCATCAGAAACAAAAACAATCATTGCAATAACTGCGTAAGCAATTTAAACTATGATATCCTTTTCTCATAAAATATCTTATAGTTCGACAGATGCACTGAAACTATTTGTTGCCGGTTATGATGGCATTGTTCATACCTATGAAGTCAATACCCGTGATGGAGGAGAATGCCAACTAATGAATCAATATTCTTTATTTCAAATATCTTCTAGTGATCAGACAAATACAACTACAAACAATTTTCACGGTTTGCATCTCAATATTTGGAAATAGAAATGATTTGATTATTGATTTGATCTAGATGGTGCTACACGAAAGTATCCTCCGAATTTATTACGAAATGAAACTAATGCTGTTGCCCTAACTAATAATGCACACCTTGTGGATCAAACGTTTAATACTGCAATAGAACAAGATAGCTTTCCTCCGCTTCCATCGCCTCCACTTGGAGGCCATGATGAATAATCATCATCCATGTCATTATCTATTCACAACAGAATTTTTGTGTGAGCGTGTCAATAATTGCCTATTTCTTTTTTTGAATAAATTTATATACCTCAGAGCGTATCTCCAGGACAATCAGATATTGTCTATTCGTGTAGTTCATCTAAAGTACTGATGAGTAAACATCTCTGCGTAGAAAAAAACTACACGGGCATCCTCAGGTAAAAGCGTTTCGATCGATGAAGTAAATAGACACGAAGGCAGAAAACATCGACAAGTCAATCAAGATGTTTTATCTCAAACGTCTCCCAACAATCAACAAACGTCAATTACACGAATATATCTTCGAAATACATGACAAAATGAAAAACATACGGTTTCCTGCTCGATGATACACATTTTATCGATAAATCTGCAATGAAGAAAGATAATTATCCTTTATTTATTCGTTACCTTCGATCGAAGGCCATGCGAAATGGCAATTATCTAATTGCGATATGTGTATATACGTCTGTGAATGTCTAAAGCGTTCCTGTTATTCGTTTACAACATTATGTTCAATCTAAGTAATCTCAAGAACGAGTCAGTATCCACGTTTTTCATTCTGTTCACTAAAGTGGATTAATTTCACAGAGTCCCTATGGAAATTGTTTATTCTTTTGCATGTCAGATAACGATCTGTGATAGGAAAAAAGAAAGAGAGTATGCATGTTATTTTTACCAGATGGAAACTTATTTATTATCCAAATGAAATAAATAAGCTGAAAGTAATTATAGAATACTACAGTTTATCGATCAAAAGGAAACCTATTTGTTAACTTCTCAAGAGACAAGACCGTACGTAGCTGTTTTTTCTTCGTTAGAAAATACGACAGCTAGACGAAAGTTTCCTTTGAGGGATGTGTTTCAATTCATTAGGAGTTTCAAGATACACTCTTGCTATCGATAAATATTATAGTAAGGACGTTATAAAAGAAACACCTGATGGCAGGATTTTATTGCTAGAGGATATTAGTTCATTAAACAAGAACTGTGAAGATATAGGAATATTTTTTTTTTCGCATTAATATTTCTAAGAAAAAACATCTTGTGGGAGATCAGAGCCTGTTTCGAATGTTTTCCATTTGGCTTTTGGAATGTTTTCAAATACCGTTTCAAGTCGTTGTTGTCCATCAAGATCATCTCGATATTTTCGAATGAAAATTTTCGCGATGCGATTTGGATATTGTGCATATATACTAGCATAGATATCTGGATCTTTTTGAAATATATCTCCAATCAAAACGAATAGACGATGGCGAGTATTTTCTAGGAACATATGCAGGATCTCCGTTTTTCTCTTCATATAGTTCGATGACATGAAAAACGAGATAAAATTCGCATCTAACCATGTAAAATGACGCATATGCGCTGATCCCGATGGAAAGCCCTCGCGCTCGAAGAATTCCCGTAGGAACGGATAGAGTTGGTCAGGTGACGCCGTTAAATACGCAAATGTCGCATTGTATTTCTTTTCCCAAGAACGATACATATCTGCCATACCCGGAACTGCGTGGAATTCTCCACTAAAAGTATTCACTAATGTTTGAATAGATGAAGTTACTTCAGTTATTTTGATCGTATCATCGATATCACTGATAAACGTAACACCATGATCATCGCAAAGATAGATCTCACTGGTAGCACGAAGATTTTTATTCGGAACGGAGATTTGAAAGAGAACTTTACCCGCACTGCCACCCGGTTGACGAAACTGTTGGATTTCATCGTTGGTTACTGTAAATTTATTCTTTATCAGACCATTATCATCTGTCGTCGTGCACATCTCGCGATGTAAACCATCGATGCAAACTGTTTTTTGTTTTTTTCCTTCGGCGGTGAACATTTTAATTCGACTTCGGTCTAAATCTTTCTGAACAATCAGCTCGAAAGTTTTCTCCACGAGTAAAGCTTGAATCGGGTTCTCTTCGTAGTACCATCCTTGATTATATAAAATCCAATTTGATGTAGAAGAACGAGTACGAAATGCGACAGACGGGACAAAGAAAAGTCCTTTTTTATCGAAAAGAAATCCGTTGCAATATGTAAGAATAAGAAACACAATCGTTACAACTAACACAATTTCTTTCATGATTGATTACAACTGTCAGACAAATGAGTTTTTCTGTATTCGTATTTGATTGAATTTCTCATGTGTTTTTCTTCTTCGATATCAGCGTGATGAATAATCTCAATGACATTAATTCGTTTGAAGTCCACGAAAGAGCTGCAAATATTGACTGTGATAAGTGTGTTCTGTCATTTGTATTCAAGCAAGGAGAGTTCGGTTACTGAGGAAATAATCGGTGAATTTGAATATATAGCTACACGATCATTCGTATGAGTAAGATTCATAATATAATATTGACGAAACGGTCTTCTTTTTCAAACACTCGAACAATATCGAATAACGAAAAGAATTTTTTGTTCTGTATAAACATTTTTTATATTGTTGTTGTTGTTTTTTCTTTCATTCAATCGATGAAGATTAGTTTTCATTCGGAGATAATCCTTTGTGTTGATTGACTAGTATCCCTGGAATGTAATTATAGGCTGAAATCTTTTTACTTGACGATTGTCACTAGATAAGTACATTTGTCTTGTCAGTAAATAAATGTTTTTATTGACAATATTGTCATCGATATGAAACTGGCTTGCAGTGAAAGGGAAATGCAGAGACATTAGGTATTATTTTAAGCGAAAATACAGATCGAGGAAATCTTTTTCGTTTAGAAGAATAGATTTCAATCTGTGCTGTTAAAAAGGTTAGAGGGAAAAAGAATCTATGTATGAATCGAAGAATATTCCATTTATAGACTATTGTGGGCAAAATCAAACTGATCTGCATCGTTTGATCGGATCATAGGAGCGGAAATCGTGCTTGAGAAGAAATGTTGATTGAATGAGACATCATTTTACGTATGAAATCGCTCCTATACTCCTTCGGATTCAATTATCGGCGTATATATTTACCTCCTCTTAGCGAGCACAAGACTGAAAGATCCTTTTTCTGCTTCATCAAATTGATTAAATCGGATTTCTTTTTCGTTTTATTAACTCCTCGTGTGATCAGAAATAACTGGAAGCAATCAGTAATGGATCGCTGCTAACTATCGAAGTGTTATGGATCAATTTAAATGTTTGACTGGCATTTAATTGTATTCGATTTCAACGAGTAAAAATTAAGAAATCCATGACAAAGGTAGCCGTCGTCACAAGGATAAACATCAACAGTCAGACTTTGCGTCTTGTAATTTCTTTTAATTTGAAAGAGAACAAGATTGACGTGAGGCTTTAATCTCACTCAATGAAAACATTCATGTTAAGGAAGAGAAAACATGTATGTTAAACAATGTGAACGTCATTCCGATAGAGATCATTTCAAGATGACATGTCTCTACTCTGTGTTTAGTTAGCAAATTCTTTCCTATTGTGGATTACTGGCATTAATTTGTTATTTTATTTCATCTGATACAAATAGATCGCGACGAAGAGAGAAAGAAGAAATTTTATTCGTTTAGATTCTTTTTTCTTTCTTCTCATTTTATGAGCGCTCGTTCTCTTCTATTACAAACATGTAGGCTAAAGTCGTCTACCTTGAAGTAGATCTTCTTTTTAATATAAAGCTCGGCTACTTTCACAATGTAAATACGTGATAGGAGAAGAAACGCTTTTCAACGTTTGTGATATGCATCTTTTCAATAGTTATACGATCAGATAGATGTTAAAGGCTCGAACAAAGGAGCAAAGTAAAAAGAAAAGAACAGAATGTCTGTCTTCTTTCTTTTTTTTATATTTCCAATGAATGCAAGTTTCAGCTGACGAATAATCGATTTATAAGTAAAAGTTTCTCTTTTACTTCTTTTGCATATTTTATTTCATGGAGAATGTCGTCACTAAAATGTCATCGATTATTTAGACCAACTACGTACATTGGGATTTGATTAGAAGCGTAGGAGAAAGACATTGGCGGCGATGTCGAGTAGATAGCTACCATTTGTGTTTGAATACCGACGATGATTATTCACATCGCCCACCGTTATCAGGTGACTAATTGTTGCTTAAAAGTTTGATCGCATAATTCAAGAATCGATGTTTTTTATTCGCTTTTCTTTTTTTCATGTTCTCCTTCCTCCTCCTTGTCTTAATACATCGTACGTAGTGAGTATTTAAGAAAAAATGTTTTATGCACACATTCACACACACACACCGATAGCAAATTACGACTGCTGCTATTACTACTGTTTCTTCTTCTTTTGTCGCTGCTGTATGATGACAACTAGGAGAATACACTTTTCTTTTCTCTCTTCTCTTCTTCTCGGGTTCTCCGCGTAGATTTGCGGTACTGCATATCTTCTTTACATGGAGAGAGCAAATAGTCGAAAGAAATGCAGGAGGAACGAGAGAGATCCGTAGCACATGTGTTACTCAGCGTAGTCAGAGTGTCTACGCTGTCGAGAAGGAGAAGAGAAAAAAGCTATTTTGGCATATATGCTCGTTTCATCTATAATTCATGCTTGATTATTCACTTCTCGCTCGCGCTCAGTCTTTAGCAATGCTGTTGTTCGATAGATGACTAGCACCATTGTGCTCATTTGTGCACTGTAGCATGGTGGTAGATATTCAACGAATCTTTCGTAGTTCTGCGCTTTGGCAGATCTATGATTAGCTTTTTAATCTGAACATCAAAACTTGCTCTCGTATTTTTCTTTCATGTCGGTACTATTTCTTTGTATTTCATATTGTGTCCTCGTAAGTAGTAATGCCAGACTCTTAATCAATCATTCCTTTCTACTCTGATTTCTATATCCGAATTCATAATGAATACATCGATTCGTTAGGGCTAAATAAATATGCATATTCTGCAATTCACATCAGTTCTAAATAGTTATTAGAGTATATGTCATGAGAAAGAAGACCAGATGAGAAAGTATTTATATATCCCGATTTAACTATGCTCAGTAGGTATGTTTCGTAAAGATTTTCTAACGTCGGGAAAATAATAAATTATGTAGATTGATTTTTTATAATTCATTAGATCTCATTCCTCTAGTAAGGAACGTTAATTTTATTAATAAATTTTTAATATAAAAAGTAAAAAGAAGAGAAATCTTTTTCTTGAATTCACTTAGGAGTAGAAATATTAAAGTGTAACTACAAGATTTTTCTAATCTTTTTAGTTCACATAGAGAAACTCTGTTTAATGAGCCTTGCGCGTTGGCCGGTGAATCTCGCTTCCCGATTAAGCTGTCGGAGTGACGAGGGGGGGGGGGGGAGAGGGAGAAAAATGAATAAAACAGAAGAAAGAACACGCATATATATATATATAAGAAAAAGCAGAAAAAGGAATGTTGTAATAGTTATAACCATTCATGATAAGAAGGTAAAGGTGTAAAGTGTAATATCTAATACTGATGCAACTCGATGCTGCATCGTTTTTCTGCCTGTCAGTTTGTCTCATCGAATGATTATCCATTATTTGCGGTTGCCCGATTTTCAACTCGGATTTTCCTCTCATTATTTTTTTTTTGAGAGAGAAAAAAAGCGACGTTGTGCAGAACAAGACACATGAGACTAAGAAGAAAAATTCCAAAAGGTTGTTAATGGCTAATAGAGTTTGAACATGAAAGTTGTTCTGAACGTAGAAAGAAAAAAAGACTGTCGACTTTCCAATCTATTATATTTTTTTACTAATCACCTCCGATTTGAAGAGAGCAGATCGAGAGAAAATGTAAAACTAATATTGTTATTCGTTGTTCTTTCTTTCAAATGAGAAGAACGCAGGTTTTGACAGAAATTAAGAGTAGATGAAAAAAAAAGAACACGACCTGACGACCTTGACATCATTTTAGTATATTCTCTCGACATAACTGGCATGTGAACAGAGCATACAAGTGAATTTACATAGAAAACATGTTGGACGAACATACAAATTCGACTGGTGTCAGCTGTGAAAGATTTCGCTGTTCAGCTCGTGGTCTGATTTTACCATTCGGTAATGAGCTTCTTTTATTTTCTGTCTTCCATTGAATCAAACCTTTCCTTTCCAAATAGGTATCGAAGCATGCATGCCAATTAAGCTACGAGCCACATTATATTTTATATTTTTACTTTATCTTTTTCTTGGGATTGCTATCATTGCCGACATCTTCATGTCGTCAATTGAAACTATAACATCGAAACGACGCAAAATTCGCTATCCCGATCCGGGTGAAAAAGACAAATATCTAACTGTCGAAGTGCGAACATGGAACGATACGGTAGCAAATTTAACATTGATGGCATTGGGCTCGAGTTCACCTGAAATTCTTCTATCAATCATTGAAATTATCGGTAATCGTTTCGAGGCGGGAGAACTCGGTCCGGGAACAAGTAAGCAAGACTTTTTGTATATTTTTATTCTAACTATATTAACAGATTCAAAAGGTCATGATATTTAACATTGACATTCCGAGTATATGCGTTGTTTTCCTTCGGAAACTATACGCGTTCGTTTTTTTTTTTGAGTAGAACACGAGACCAAATAGTCAAAGATCAATAATGTTAATTATGATTCGATTTCTGTTTCTAGTTGTTGGTTCAGCGGCATACAATTTACTAATGATATCAGCATTGTGTATCTCATCAATCAGTGCTACTGAAACCAGGAGAATCAAGTTGTACAGCGTGTTTATGGTAAGATAATTCAGATAATGAATTTCATATCTGTTTGCATGCAATATTTTCTTAGATCACATCATTTTTCGGATTTTTCGCGTATATATGGATGTTTATTGTCTTATCGGTTATATCCAAAGATGTTGTTGATCTTTGGGAAGCTGTCATAACATTTCTCTTGTTTCCGTTGGTTGTCATTTTAGCATATCTGGTAAATGAACGTTTCGATGAAAACAAAGCATTGATAATCGATCATTTCGATGTTTTTCCCTAGGCTGAGAAGAACTTCTTTGCTTCGAAGAAAATTGACATGGACGAAGAGGAACAAACACTTATATTAAGTAGGTTGAAATTTTGTCCTCTTCTTCTGTAAATATTTTTGGAAGACTGATTATCTATGTGACATGTCTAATGTTTTCTCTTCTACTTTTTCTAGCACCGCCAGAACATGATGAGAGTGGAAGTCCACGTAATTTTCGTAAAGATGAACTTCTTCAATTTCTACGTGTACGTACAACATTTTGAATTTACTGCAAAATACAATATCGTCTTGTTTAGGATCTCGGTCAAACGACACACTTGTCTCTCGAAGACAAAGCGCAGTTATTCGCAGCTAAATTGAGCGAAAGCATGCATCGATCACGTATGCAATATCGTATTCAAGGTGCTCGTATGCTTACTGGTGGTAAATCATTATTTCTCAATCTGCCCGACAAACTGCAAGAGGTTAGTAAAAGTCGAATCATGTCAACTTTGTTTTTCTATCCTTTCATCTCTTTTCTGTGAGATCATTCTTTTTTCATGATCAACATCTCTATAATTGTCTAAACAGATTTATTCGGAAGTACATAATCGTGATTCCATCGCTGAACATCGAGCGTCCATGGCATCGAAGCTAGGTGACGACGAAGAAGATACTGATGCTGATGATCCTCGGTCACTAATTGAATTCTCGACGACGTCATATGCGATTCTTGAACATGAACAAAGAGTCACTTTAAAAGTCAAACGAAGAGGCCCGATTGATTTTGACGTTCGATTCAGGTGTTTATTCTCTCGCTCATATCGTCTAGTCATTCGTGCATGCATTTGCTAATCTAAAAACGCGATATTGCATACTAATAACTACTCTATCAATCTAGCATTCTTTTCTTATCAACACATAACTATTTGCATTTGTTACTTGAAATTTCTCTTCTTTCACACGTTGATACATATATGTACATCTATTTATATGAGTGTAACATCTAGTTAAAAAGAACAACATTGCCCTGGTTCGTTTAGATTTACGAACGAGCTATCAAACCACAGTCATTCGATGGCAGCTTTTCAGCAGATCATCTACACGGCGGGAGAAAGAGTACTTTGTCGAAGATAGAAATTGATGATGATCCACGAATGGCTGTACTTGAGTTTGCTTCGTCCAGTTATGCCGTACTCGAGCGTGAACAACGTGTCACGATTGAAGTCATTAGATACGGCTTTATGAATTCTGTGATTCACTTCCGGTAGGTCTCAGTCGTTCTCCATGTATTTTTTTTATTATCCCATAGTTCCATGATTGGTGTATGTGTTTGTTGTGCGATTTCTATTTTCCTAATTTACCTTTGACAACGAGATTACCATAATCCACTGATTGTTTTTAGTTATTCTATTTTTTACTCTCATATCTATTGAATGCGGTTAGGGAAAGAAGAGGCATTACCAAGAGCTTTACTGCTACCTGCTTTACATTTGCATGCTTTCCGGCTATATTCTTGCACGCTTTCTATTTGGAAAACGGAAGATGCTTTCTCACTGCTCTCGTCTAATCCGTACGGAACTGAATTATGTCCGTTTTCGATCATTAGACTGGATACTATCGACGGTACGGCAACAGCTGGTGAAGATTATGTAAAATTATCTGAAGAATTTAAAATGGAACGTGGCCAACAGGAAAAACGCATTACCATTCATGTCATCGACGATAATCAATGGGAACCAGATGAAACATTTTTCGTTAAGATATCATTACCAGAAGGCGAAGAAGCACGAACTAGATTAGGCTCGAAAACGATCGCACTTGTAACAATTATCAATGACGATGGTAAATAATCTTTGAAATAGAATAAGAAAAACATCGTCACAGACGACATCTGATTTCGTTTTTATTCTTATAGAACCGGGTGTGATCGAGTTTGAAGAACCAATTACATTAGTCAAAGAAAGTATAGGCAAAGCCGAAATCAAATTAGTGCGTGTTAATGGTGCTGACGGTCGTGTCAGCGTACATTATCGAACAAAAGACATCGATGCCATTGCCACACGAGACTACGAACGTAAGTGATTGATGATAAGAATACAGAGATTCGTGTTGTTGAATCTCAATTGATTGTTTTCTCTTCTGTTTTCAGCTGCTCAAAGCGAAGTTATATTCGAACACGGTGAAATATCGAAAATAATTGCTATACCCATCATAAATGATCTTGAAGCGGAAAAAGATGAAAGCTTTGCAGTGGAAATCTATGACCCCACGGGAGGCGCACAATTAGGAAAACATACAAGGACTGTCGTCACCATTATCAACGACGATGGTAAGGAAATCTCTAGATGAATGAAGTGAAATGAAAAATCTTCTTGGATTAGATTACAAGACAATGGCCAATCGAATGGCATCACTCGTTCAAGTTGACATGGACAAATTAAGTGTCACAAAAACCTCTTGGGGACAGCAATTTCAGGATGCAATGAATGTTAATGGCGGTGATTTAGAAACAGCAAAATTCGGTCACTATGTTGGTCATGCACTGTCATTTTTTTGGAAGGTAAGTTTTGAAAATCACGATAGTCGACAGTACACAATCGAAGTATATTATCTTCAAGGTACTCTTCGCTTTTGTTCCTCCAACAGCCATGGCTGGTGGCTGGCTGACATTCTTTGTCTCGCTCTTCTTCATCGCTCTTCTAACAGCTGTTGTCGGCGATGTTGCTGCAATATTCGGTTGTTTAGTTGGATTAAAAGACAGTATTACAGCTATATCTTTTGTTGCTCTCGGAACATCTTTACCGGATACGTTTGCATCGATGATTGCAGCGAAAAATTCGAAAACAGCTGATGATGCTATTGGTAATGTCACTGGATCAAATAGTGTCAATGTGTTTCTCGGTCTTGGACTTCCATGGCTCGTTGCCGCTATCTACTGGGAGTCAAAAGTAAAATGAGACTAGACGAACGAGATATGTGATTTGAATGATTTCTTTTTTAGAATCTACCATTTACAGTTAAAGCCGGCGATCTCTCATTTAGTGTATTAGTCTTCTCTATATGTTGTGTTCTTGGTATGCTTGTACTTATTTTACGAAGGTATCTAAGTGTTTTTGGCAAGGCAGAACTTGGTAAGAAAACAGAAATTTTCGGCAACACGAAGAAGAATAACTGATGAGTATCTTTTAGGTGGACCAGCAATACCAAAATATCTATGTTCCGTCTTTTTTGTTCTACTTTGGATTGTCTACCTTGCACTATCAAGTCTTCAGGCTTATGGATATATCAAATGGCAGAGTTAAACCATTGGATTGTGTGTATGCATATTAAGATATGTCCAGGAGAAAAGAAGATGACGAGTGAAAAACTTTTATTGTTTGTTTTCGTTAACTTCTCTATTCAAACCTTCTCTTTCTTTCTTTCTTTCTCTCTCTCTCTACTCAGTTTTGTTTCTGGCGTCGCGCATCTGTGATTAATTAAATACACATAGAAGAAAAGGAATAGAAATGACGAGCAAAGTTCTTTCTCCTAGGAAATTAATCCTTTCAAATGCTGACTTTTGATGAGAACTCAATATTGAACAGAGATAAAATCGATTTAAGATCAACTCAGGATGATCGTAGTTCTTCAATAACTAAAATCCACTGTTTCCTTCCTTTTCTCTTCTCTCCTTATATATGTCCTGCTATACATCTTTGCACACACACACACACACAGTTAGTAGAATATTCGTTTAGACATGAGCCTGTCCCATTATCTTTTGTTTTTTGTTACTCAATTGATGAAAAGAATCCATTCTTTTCTTTCGTAACTCTCTATGTATGTATCATTGTGCCTGCGTTCATGATTATCTCGCTTGATTTGTCACTTCTCTTTCTTGCTCTTCACATTATGCTTTATTTTATGATGATTTTACAGCGAAATATGGGATATTAAGAACAGTAGTTAACGTCTTGGCTTTTTTTTTCCAAAATATATTTCTATTTAAAAGAATAATGTGTCGTGTGGCTTTTGTTCAAGTGCAATGTAGGAGAGATTGTTAGTATTGGAAAATTTCACGCTTTTCTTCATTTCCGATTGTGTTCGAGGACGAAAAATGTTACTGAATCGAGGAAATGAATTGTTAATAAGCTCATATAATTATCAAAAGATCTGCCGAATAGATTTCTGATTGCAAAACACAATGACTGACAAATACTCTCGGATGAAATTCATAATTTTGCAAAAAATATACTCCATGCGTGTCGTATTAACGCACCAATTAGTTTTCCCTTCAAGATCCTCTTTTGCACATCGGAAAAATTAAGACAAACGAGATTTCAATAGAGAGTAACGAATCATGATACTTTACCGACATCGTATGTAAAGACGAGCGACAACGTGCGACATGAAAAAACGTTGCTAATACAATGCATGACTTTTGATAAATTTATGAGTAAGAAAATCCAATATAAATATTCATCAAACATTTCCCACGTTATATGACGTGTTAATAGTTAAAACAAATCAAGTAGAGTTGTCTGAAGGTCACATGCTTCTTTGGAATTCAATGGCAGATACGAATCACGATGACTAGCATAGATAAAATGTGATAATGGTGTTCAATAAAAAAGTAATTTATTAGCAGAATACAAGGTTAAGTCTAATCGTTGGCTGAATTTGAAATAATCCGTGATAATAACGAAGATTAATGTTATTTCTGTATGTTTGCTAGAAACTATTTGAATTCAAATGACATAGATTAATCCCGTGAGATGTCTCAAAGAGAAAAGAATGATGTTACAATGCTATTTATCAGTAGATCGAATCATATGATACGAGATTTCTTTCTGAGGTAGTTGGACATGTTTGTAGAGTTAAAAGTTTGTAATGCGTGTACTTCAGAGGTTATCGAGTATTTATTACCGTCTATTGCTAAACAAGTTTTGATCTATCACCCTCGGACTTCGTTGAAAGCAGAAGGAGAGAATATCTGCTATGCCTATCCCTTTCTCATTAACTAATATGATCCTTGACTTAACCTTTAGTGTCATCCGTTGTCTTGTATGAGCACTAAATACTAGATCTTCATTAACCGAACAAAACTCTATCGGAGAGATATAATCCTCTTACTTTCGATTGAGAATTCTTATATAAATACTACATCTGATGGATTATGCAATGATATTTCACTGTTCAGAAGCAACGTGGCATGATTCAATGAGTACAGTGAACAGACGTCGGTTATAGAGTGCACTTGTGTACAGCTGAATTGAACTCTTTTCGTATAAGTCAATGTATACAGAGAATATGTACGAGGGAACGCGACGGACAAATGCATAACAAGAATCATTGTACTAATCGATAGAATTCTTTGAAATTTTCTTTACGCATGTTGTGTACACAGCACACTTCAAATATACCTTGAAGAACTATGAATAGACGTCTCGATTTGGATTCTTTCGACAAAAAATGGAATATTACTAGGATTCAAAAACTAAATCATCATTTTTTTCGCCTACTTCGATGATAATTATCAGATACAGCATGTGTAGCGGCGTTCTTTTTTCTTCTTATTTCCGTTTAATTATTTCTGGCAGCATCAATGTTTGAATACACGAAATAAAAAGCCTTCATTCATGCGCCAATATACCATGTTAGTCTAACATTAGGCTCACTTTCTATTAGGAGCCGTTCTTTTGCGTTCTTTTTTCTTCGTCTTCTCTTGTATTCATATGTTATTTTTTTCGTTTCCTTAGTATACTTACAAGTGTATGACCATTTTGTTTCACTTCTGTTCGTTACAATTGTAAACTACAAGCATTGGATCACCTCTCTTCCTCTTTTTTATTTCGACCTATTCTGTACCTTTCATCAATAATTTTTTTCTCTTTTTCTCTCGACTCACTTTTTTCACACACACATACACATACATAAAAAACGATTGATGTTCGTGATGCGGTTATGACTACTACCTGTAAGTACATAAATTTGTTTTCTTTTAACCTTTTACAAATCGTTCGCTGGTAGCAGAAGTTCCAAAACTCATTTGATAACTAACTCTATAAATACAATCTAATGATCTTCGTTTGAAAATAACATAAACAGATGTGTTGGAATATCTTATCTCGTTACCATACTGATTGCATCATCAAGAGATGATGGCGACATACTGGGCATATCTGTTAACCTTTTTTTTTATATGTACGCATTTCTTTTGATGAAGTGCGATGTACAACGCTTTATTGTAGTCGAACGCACATCTGTATGAACACGAAGAGTAATATTTATTCAAATCAATGGATTTCAATTCTGTCATTGACAGCGCTCAAAGATTTGCTGGAAGAAAACGCAATGATAACATTTATGATGATCGATTGATTGATCGTCTCCATAATCGTTATACAGTCGCAATCTTAGTTTGTTTTTGCATCGCCATCTCAACTTACCAATATGCTGGTAAGATGAACGAATCAAGAATTGTCATCAATGTCTTTTTCTTTTCGTAAACAGGTGATCCATTGCACTGCTGGGTGCCTGCCCAATTCACTGGAACTTACGAAGCGTATACCAATCGTTTATGTTACATTCAGAACACATATCATGTGCCGAAGAATCAAATGGTTCCAAAGGATTACAATCTACGACGTGAAAGAACATTGAAATACTATCAATGGATTAATTTCGTTCTACTTTTACAAGCATTATTTTTCAGTTTACCACGCATTCTTTGGCAGTCATTCAATGATAAGACTGGCCTGCCGCTGGGAAACTTTGTCGATGCTGCAAATAAATACGATTCGTTCGATATTAAAACCGATCGACAAACAGGTAAAGTACCGAAATCGATTCTGTTCAGTATCATCTGTTATTCTTGTAGTTGTTCAATATATTGCCGATTGTTTACAACGATATGAAGAATATGTCAATCCCCCAAAGCGAGATAGATCGTCGTTTATTCATCGTATGGATCGTCAATGTCGTTTATTTTGTCAAGGTCGAACCGGCGCATCACTTGTTTGCTTTTATTTTTTTATTAAATTTCTTTACATACTTAATTTGGTCCTACAAATCTTATTTCTTCAATATTTCCTCAGTTATTACGAGATGAATTATATTCAGTATGGTGTGAACGTGCTAGGCAGTTTACTTTCCGGGTTTACCTTGCCGGAAAGTAAACTCTTTCCGCGAATAACATTATGTGATTTCCAAATACGTGAATTAGGCGAACAACATCATTATACAGTCGAATGTATTCTTGTGATTAACATTTTTATCGAAAAAATGTATTTCCTTCTATGGTTATGGTTTTGGATTTTACTCTTCATTACAATTGTCGACACAATACGTTCTTTTTATCAAATATTTGTTCGACACTCACGTAACGTGTTTATTGTCCAACATTTAGAATTAATCGTTAAAAATCGTGCCTCGAGAGAACAGCAATTTCGATATTTTCTGCGCTATTTTCCTATTGATAATTTGTTTGCCTTATGGATTGTCGGGCTCAATTCTACTCCATTGATTGTGGCAGAAATACTCGATGAATTATTTTATCGCAGGTTGAATAGCGGTTCGGATGTGTGAAACAAATGCACACGCGTTTGAAAGCATCAAAGTATTTTGTTTTGTGTTAACAGCCGTTTCCTTGTATGATACACTTAAATAAAAATGATAGTTTATGAACGAGAAGAGACAGAAATCATCGAGTAAGACAGATGGCATATGGTTAATTTTGTAAAGATAAACAAATAAATGATGAAGATATGAGACAGACTATCAGCTGACAGCGTGCATCTCCGTAAATTGAGCTGTACGATTCCACTCGAAGAAGGTACAAATTACATCACAGTTGTGTTAGCTGGAATATTTTTTTGTTGACTTTTCACCTAGTTATCGTAGAAATCCATTGAGAAAAATGTGCTAAAACTACGCTGTCTTACTTTGCTTGGTAATCCCTTGATATGGCAAGAAGGAATAACATTCTATGATATAATTATGAACTCAACATACAATCAAACTAATCACGACATAAACTGTGGATTGCACGTCATCGAACATAGTCAAACAAATCCAGTCCATCTGTGTTTGAAAGAATCTTTTTATGTAACATAACTCAGTCATTAAGACGTTAATCGACATTTTACCATGCAATATCATTAAAGATTTACTAAGAAATCTCTTCTATGGACCGGGCATCTTCATTAACTTTTAACTATACTCATGTTTAATGATCCGTCTCTGATCGTTGATGACTCACTCGCGCTCACGTTTGTTGATAAGCTAGAAAATGAATTTCTATTTAAAAGAAAAACTTCATTTTTTATTAGATCTGGAAAAGAAGAGAAAGAATAAATCAACTAGTAACACATTATCAGCCTGGGTCCATATAGAAAAATAGCAAAAAAAAACTATAGTTGTATGTATAGAAAGAACACGGTCGGTACTAATTCACCGAGAAGGAGACGATGACTAGCAAATGCAAAGAACATTGTTTACTTGGAAGCCATGGGCTGAAATAACTTCAATATATCTCTAAAAAATCAGTGCGAAGAAAGTCAAAACTAACAATCAAATGTATGGTAACACAGACTTATGCATATACATAACACCATAGGCATCAGGAGCTAAATCTTTCAGAACACGTTGCTGTGTACATGATGTAACTGATGTATCGTCATATGTCCACCATGTATCTCCTTTTGCATCATAAACTGTCGATGTATAATGCCCT